TTCACTGACCACAGCAATTTGAAGGATAGTAGCCCGACACTGACGATCCCGCGTTGCGCAGTTGCATAATCTGAAAGAATAATGCCACCCGCAGGGATCGAGCCCGAGACCTCCTCCTCCTCCTACTACCCCTCCACTCTGTTGCCGGTTACCGTCCTGACCAGCAGCCGCAGCCGCACGTGTATCAATGAGAGACTGCGAGACCATTGAAAATGCTTTCTCCACATTGGATGAGTCCTGATGAATAACAACTCTTCGAGAGACAACACTATCATATAAAATGCAAGTTCCACTCGTAAAAGAAACTATATTTTCTGATTTTTCCGGTCAACGACGTTTCCTTGTTTGAAATTTTCACCCCACACGTTTCCATTCTCTATAGTTATTCTCCAACGTACCCGTAAATATGCGAAATCACGGTGGATCAAGTTACGGCATTTTTCACATGAATTTCGCGACAGACAAAATACAATTTCTCTGCAGAAGTCCTTAGAACGAATGGAGTCCCATCACATTCCAACCCAGAACTCAATGTTGAAATGTATGTTTGCTTTCTCGATCGAGAGGTGAAAAATTACACACGTCCTGGGCTAGAGGTATGCAAAACCTCACAATATCTTCGGAATTTTTTTTCACCAACAAAAATAATTTTCGACATACAGAGTGTACTTCTGTTACCGGCACCACTACCAAGTATAATAATAATCATCAACACGAACACTAACTTCCCACCTTGGCGCTCGTTAAAATGAAACCAGAAAAGCCCAAGGCCTTCGCCTTCTGCTCCCCCTCCTCTGGAGTGACCTGCTGGTCCTCCTTGAGATCAGATTTATTTCCTATTAAAATCTTCACAGTCGAGTCGTTAGCGTAACTACACATAGGAATCCACCAGGTAAAGGGAAAGTCAACTGCCAACATTAGTACCGATTCACTTCACTAAGCCAATTATCAATATTTTCGAATGACTCCCTGTGCGTACAGTCATAAACCATCATAATCCCATCTGCTCCTCTGTAGTACCTATTCAGGAGCTCCTAACGTGAAGTGAAACTCCCATGGATCGGACAACTCCTGTTCTAAAAATTATCAGTTCCATCAATGAAGTTTTCAACTCTCATTTCCATTGTCAGAACAACCGAAAAACTCGCAGTGCATAATAGTAAACAATCAATTGATGATATCTTCACTTCAAAACCAGTCACAAGGAAGCCTGCAGAAATGACAACGCTCTTCACTGCGATACGAATAACAACCCGAGACGGCTAGCCTAGCATCGCACACGGAGACAGCAGGTTTTCTCTCGACTGTTGTTCACCATCCACAAATCTAATATGTAGATGACTTCCCCCCGAATACTACGCAGAAGTTATTGTACGGAACCTTTCCTGCCCGGCTGTATCCCAAATTTGTAGTTTCACAGTTTTGTCACTAACCGGGATAGTTCTGAATCTGAATATAGGGTATTGATTCATTTAAAGTAATCTTCAGCTGAACTTAATAACGACCACTGAGAAGCAGTGTTGAGATATGCGTTCGGTTTCCTCGGGTGAGCTCAAGACTTTCCAAAGTTAGAAAGGAACTAGGATAGAAATACACAAAAATCAACGATAATTTTCCGAATTTTCCTCATAATTTTTATTCTGTCACCAACACACATAGTTGATCGTGTGCATATTTTTGGTATAATCTAATTCAACGACAAAGATCATCTCGAGAACTCATTCGTTATACTCATATTCTGGATATTGAATATTGATTCACCTGAAATCGACTCCAATAGTGGTGATGTAGCTCTCCGTAAAGCTATCGTCGGCGAATCGTAGTAGTAAGCAGGACTTGCCAACACCAGAGTCACCGATGAGAACTAATTTGAAAAGGTGATCGTAATCACGGTTGGACGGCATAATAATAAATAGAACTGCTAATCATACCGTAACTCTGTCACTTCTCGAACTCAAACCTATACACGACTAAATATCATTTATATTCACAGCATGGCCATGTGATAATAATGATCCTAACCTACTGTTTTCTTGGGCGATTCAATAATAACCTCAGTAGGCTCAACCCGGCGACTACTACTGCTGCTATTGCACCTACTTTCAATGTCAACTTGTAACGGAGGTGAACCCTCTCGAGCTTCACCAGAAGATCTCTTCGACCGACCAATGAATACGAACCAGTCCATGATAGTCGGCAATGACTTGAATCGATTCCAAACTTTCCTTCCTTGTGGAGGTCTGCTTCGCTCCGCCTCTTCTCCGTTTAATTTATACACGATGTATTCGTACGTAGTCAGTCCTTTGTAAGCCAAGAACGCATGGAATGCTAATAGCTGTAATGTACACAATGTTAGAGGTAGGTTCACCAGTAAAAGGGTTAGTGACAGACCAACTACTGTTTCATCATCAGCTCTATTGTAAACCCGTTTCCAACGATAAACGGTAGCCTCCGAACCATCACCAATATATCGGCTGATCTCCAGACCGGAAAATGCGACTAGGAGTGTCGTGAAGATGAAAGCTGAGGTAGCGGCCAAAATGAAGGCGGTGTAGTTCTCACGACCAATGCAGTTGTTGAGCCACTCACAGTGGTGATCGAAATCGTCTATGCATTTGTTACACTGTCGACAGTGTTTAGCATCAGCGCTCACATTACGCTTGCAGAACAGGCAGAAGCGGGTGCTCTCGAGGGGTCTTGATTTACGACCAGGATCGCAGTGAGTCGCTGTGTACGTGGAACCGATGAGCAGTATAGTGCTGATCAACCACAACGTTGAGATCAGCCATCCAAACCAGCGTGATTCACTCAGTAGGATTGGCACTGCTATAATGGCACCGAGAACGACATCAACGGTGAAGGTGATCCACGATAGGAGTTGTAGTTTGCTCAGTGGTTTGGTAAAGCCGTTCTTACGTACAAATATTCCATACCACTCCTTCGGGAAATTTCGAGAGGAGGGAGGCTCGTCCCGGGCCGCCCGGAGCTCTCGAGCAACCATGGCGAGGTCTAACGTGCCGGGACTGCGCCCATCGGGAGAGAGACTAGTCATTCGGAAGGTGGTAAGTCACTGGAGTAAGAATGCTACAACGACCAACGATTATGCGCGAGCAAAATCGTTCGTCTGAGCGAAATATTCCGATATTGTGCAAAATGTGGAAAAAATTTCACAAGCGTTTACAGTAGCTATAGGCATCCTCGACGATCCTTGCTTAACCATTGCTGCCAAGCCGCTACGCTTCATGTTGATAGAATAGCTTCAGCGATCTCACTGATCATCTAGTACAGTATTAACGGCCAGTAGTCACAAATAGCGTTTGATCGATTTACTGTTGTGTTTCCAGTGGGATGGGCGCTTTTTTCCTCTGAGCTCAATCATGGTTTTTCTCATAGGTTATCCTTGTGAACCTCATTTTCAATGGCTCAGATCAACCCTCAATTTCAAGCCATAGGCGACCAGTTCGTACAGCAGTACTATCAGACCTTCGATGCTAACCGAAGTCAACTAGGTCCACTCTATGGAGGTAGAGTTCGACCAGCTTATCTCAATTTCGATTTTACACATTTTCATATCAGATTCGTCCATGTTGACCTTCGAGGGGGAGCAATTCCAGGGTGCTACCAACATCGTGCAGAAGATCGCCGGCCTTCCTTTCCAAAAGGTTAGACATCAGGTACCATACCACTCCATCGTTAAATCGTATACTTCATACCGTAAATCTCTCAGATCATCAAGGCCGATTGCCAACCCAATCCCTCCAACAACGGTGTGATCGTCTTCGTTACTGGTAATCTCTACGTTGATGACAACGCCAATCCTCTCAAGTTCGGACAGGTCGGGTCGAAGCTTGGATATTATTCGTTGAACTCTATTGATTTTAGGTGTTTCATTTGGCTCCCAACCCTAGTACTGGTGGCTTCTACTGCATGAACGATCTCTTCCGTCTCAACATTGGTTAAGTGATTACCGTTATATACTGCTATACTTGCACGACGCCGAGGGAGGTGCTGGGATTCGAACCTGAGGTCGTTTGATTGTCCGCACAGTAACCGTCTCAATATCTCGTTCCGCTGAAACTGTCTGTGAATCCTCGCAGTTGAAGTGTGAGTTATATACTGTGGTTTCGTATCAGTTGTAGTGCATATAGAGTTGAATTAATTCATATCAATGCTGTGTGCTGACGCAGCAAGAAATCTCTCAAGCGGGAGAGATTTCCAGTTTTGTCCTATGCTATCACTATGACGATCTCCGACCGGTCAGTGAATGCTGAAGTTGTTCCAAATGTGAGTGTCTGGCGATATTTGTATCACCTGTGACGTTTGTACAGTAGAACAGTCTGTCGATAGAGCATTGCGACGAATCCTTATACGGCGATACAGTTGAGGTGATCCCATTCGATTTTTGTCTTCAACTCCGCAACGCTTTTTGCTCAGTCACATGGGCGTTGGGCTGAACTAAGTCGGCAGGAACGAGTCGAAATGTTGTCGAATTCTGGTATGCTGGTTGCAATCGAGTATTTCCCAAGATTCGCACAACCGCCTCCAATAACGGTTGAAGAATCAGCGGCACTCCTTCCTGACTCGAGATTGAAGTACCTCTGTTCCGCAAGAGGACCGCATTATTCTCCATCATCGTCAATACCGCAGAATCGAACTGGTCCAGGCCGCGTAAGCTCGTCACTGGCGAGCTCTGATGCGAAAGAGGCATCTACGGTAGGATGCGGAAAAGGTGTGGTAGAGACAACAGTGAGAAGAGTATCTCCTCGAAGGCAGTCCTATGTACCGTTAGACGAGGACGGTACGAGTCGGTTACGAACGAGGTTGCGCGAGGCGAGAACGATTGATAGGTTTTACCATGAACATGGTTACATGTCACACTTGGTTTCACAGTGAACGATCTTGGAGAAATCGAGTTTAATGATTCGAATAGAAGAAATCGTCTGGTTTACCGGATCATCCGGATGGACCCCAAGATACTGTGCTTTCTACATGATCAATATCTGCAAAATCATTCATACCCAAACTACTAGATTCATCAGACGATGTATGACTAGAGGACGACGAAAATTGGGAGGAAGTGTCTATACTGCCATGGAGTGAATCAATATCACTACAGGTATAATTTTCTGAAAAACAGGAAGAAGTGAGAGACTGAATCGACAGTGTTGTTGTGCTTGCATCAGCTGCTCCTCCGTGCATAGGAAAACTATTTGATAGGTATACGTGAGATTTGAGAATGCAAATGATATGCACTATCTAAATACGTGATGAAATGTTCTTTACGCAGCGCGATAGTGCAATTTTTCGCAACAAATCTAACATAACTTCGTCGACTACATACTTCCTGAGAATTCGGCATGAAGACAGAACATAAATGATCTGTTCGCAGCACATCGCGAGCAAGGGGAACGTGATATTTATTACGTGCGAAAACAGTTGTGGCATCCAAAGACTGCGAATACCCAGCACTGTATTCAGATGAAGTTTGTTTCAATACGAGCTCATAGCACA